AACGAAAATATGACACAACACCCCCCCCCCCCCCCCAAAATATCCAGTAGCTGCATATTTTGAGGAAAAACATTTGTCTGAAAGTAGATTAAAAACCTTTACTCTCCACTGTCTGTGACCTAGTACCCACAGAAATTGGTTGCTGCTGTTTATCTTTTGGTGCAGTACAGAGCACCTCCCCTTAAATGTCCCATTTTCAACACAGACATCAGTATTTTTGGATCAGCATAAGCAAGGGAAAGTTTACACAAAGGTTGTATGACCTCGGTTTGTCTACACTGAGGCCCTTATCACGGACTGGGGGACGTATCATGCAACAATGCCAGTTTATGTGAATGATTTGGGAAGGAACAGAGCTCTGTCAAAACCATTTCAGGGAAAGGTATGTAGGTTTGTTTCTTGGCCATTCATCTAAGACTGCAATAATAAGTTGATTAATCAATTGGTCAACAGAAAATTAATCAGCGGCAATGTTGATAATCAGATAATAGTTTTAAGGAATTGTCAGAAAATGGCAAAATCCAAGTTACAACATCTCAAACATAAATATAGAATAACTCATATTAAGATATATTTAATCATTTCTTCAAGGCTTTTCTCAAGACAGCTGGAATCTCCTGACTGATGGGTGTGGACGGAGATGTTTCCTATCTGTCTGTGTGACTGCAGGAGAAAGAAACCATTTCTGTCTGCAACCAGGAGACAGCTACAATGGACCCGTCCAACCAGAAGCACTTTGCAGTTCTAGACTATGTGATATTTGGCTTCTTGCTCACGGCCTCTATGGTCATCGGCCTGTACTATGCTCTCTCTGGTGGGCGTCAGCGCACTACACAGGAGTTCCTGATGGCAGACAGGAGCATGTGCTGTCTTCCCGTTTCCCTGTCACTTATTGCCTCATTCCAGTCCGCTGTGGCGATCATAGGCGTACCAGCAGAAATCTACACTCATGGTACTCAGTACTGGTTCATCGGCAACGCAACAGATAAAAACATAAAGTAGCATTGCACCAATCCAACACCTTCCCCTCAACTCAATTCCAGTACCTCATCTTGGGTTTATCTGCAGCTACCGAGTACTGATCTGAGAACAGTGCCTCTTTTCTTTCAAATTTAAATTCTGTAGAACGCTGCCAGTTGGGATCATTTTTATGTGTAAGGTAACATGAGATATCTAAAATGCTCACAAATTAATATGTTAGATCCTGTTTCTTCATTCATACAGAAATTGAAATATAAAAATAACAATTTGCGGTTTAATA